CAGCCAAGGCAACCACAGTGCTGATTTTTACAGACGCAATCACACAATATGTTCTTTAGTATCTGACTTCTTTCCTACCACATAATGTTTTTGAGATTCACCCACATTTTTGCATGTTATCAATGATTTTTTTATTGAATCATTTTTTTAAACTGCGGAGTAGTATTCCACTGCATGCATCAGCCACAATCTGCTTATATATTTTCCTGGTGATTGTTATTCTAGTGTTTTCCCATTTTTGGCTACTGTGAATAAAAGTGCCTGTAAACACAGAATACTGTTCTGCTGGATAAATGCAATCATACCTAACCTTAAACTTAAGACAGCTTTCTGCCTAAATCAGGAGCTGTGAGACCAGACTGAAGTAGTATCTGCTTTCACATTACGTGAGCAAAAAGAGCTTCTGCTACAAAGACCCAGCTGATGATGGGAGACCCACCTCAACTGGCCCCTATCTGTGGCATATGACACTCCAGGGCATATGACACTCCATACCTGATGATGAGAGACTCTGGCTAGAACATTTCAAATAGGCAATGTTTAGGAGCAGTGGCAATAAAGCTCATTCATCTCTGTTCTGACTCTAATGTGGTGTCAGATTGCTTCTATTACACACAGAAATATGGTATTTTAAAAAATCACACATACTGTGTATGTGTGATTTTGATTTATTCATCCTTTAAGGTCTCCTCACATAGACCTCACCCAATCAATGAACAGCCACATGCCTGTTATGCAACTTTGGGCACATCATTCACCTCTATAGCCCTAATTTCCCCAATATGTAAAATAGAATAATTATAGCATCTATCTTATGGTAATTTTGAAGATCAAATTAAATCACCTATATCAAGTATACATAGTGCCTAACACATGTAAGTACCCAACTATTAGCTATAACAGGTTGAGTATCCCTAATCCAAAAATCCAAAACTTTTTGAACACCAATATGACACTCAAAGGAAATGCTCACGGGAAAATTTCAGATTTCAGATTAGGGATGCTGAACTGGTAAAATGTAAATATTCCAAAATCTAAAAAAATCTGAAATCTGAAACATTTCTGGTCCCAAGCATTTTGGATAAGTAATACTCAACCTGTATTAATAAAACTATTATTTCCAAAACTCTTTAGAAAGAGTATAGCCACAGACTTCCTTTTTCCATCTCCATATCAAGATGAAGACATTCCAAAAATGAGTGTGTTCCACAGTAAATTAGTTCAATAGGTATTATGTAAACCAGAAAGTTCCATAGCCAAGGAGGTTTTGGTTAAAAACTTTTTTAAACTGCAAAACACTGCTTTATGCCAATGTACACTACGACTCCTTCTAAAAGTGAGATCTGGTATACAGTATTTCCAAAGTGATTTGACCATGAAATTTACTCCTGCTCTATGAAAAAGATCATGTGACCCTGGGGGGTTCTAAGAAATACACTTTGAGAAAGGCCAGTAAAAACAAGCTGACTATACACACAAAAAAAGCATCCTCCTCAGGAGGATGACGTATGCTCTTTCCCATTTCATTTAGCTAAATGCTACCCATCCTTCAGATTTCAAGATAGCATTCCTTAACGCTCCAAATTAATCAAGACTTTCTGCCAGATACTCTCAGGGCTTCCTAGACTTTTTTTCATATCTCTTATTGCCACTGGTATTAAAATACTTAAAATATTATTTGATTAATGCCTGTCACTTCTCCCATCAAACTGTAAGCTTCAATTAAGGCTGTGAATGTATAGTTTGCTTAACCCTAACCTTGAGTATCTAACAATGTTTGGTACTGATAATAGCTGTGGACTAAATATGTGAATACAAGAATTTCACGGCAGCCTTTTTGGTATAGTGAAAAACTGAAAACAATACAAATGTTTACTAACAGAGAAGTAATTAAATAAGTTATTCTACATTTATATACTATTATACAGCCATTAAAAAGAATGAGCTTAATCTCTATGTTTTGACACACCCACTTTACTGAATGAGAAGGAAAAAACGTATTTTATTACATACATACTGTACCTAGAAATAGATATCTAGAAACATATTCATCAAAGTGTTAACAATGACTACATTTGAACAGGACTAGGACTGGGAAAGGAGACTTTCACTTTTATATAGTACCGTATGCACTTCTCCATTGTTTTAATATTCTTCAACAAGAATTTCTTTTCTAATTAAGTTTTTTAGGCTTTGATCAACTGCAGGTCCACATATATTATCACATCCTTCATTCTTTTTTCTTTTTTTTTTGAGGTAGAGTCTCACTCTGTTGCCTGGGCTAGAGTGCCGTGGTGTCTGCCTAGCTCACGGCAAGCTCAAACTCCTGGGCTCAACAGATCCTACTGCCTCAGCCTCCCAAGTAGCTGGGACTACAGGTGTGCACCACCATGCCCGGCTAATTTTTTCTATATATATTATTAGTTGGCCAATTAATTTCTTTCTATTTTTAGTAGAGACAGGGTCTTGTTCTTGCTCAGGCTGGTTTGGAATTCCTAATCTTGAGTGATCCTCCCACCTCGGCCTCCCAGAGTGCTAGGATTACAGGTGTGAGCCACCACGCCTGCCATCATCCTTCATTCTTAGTTCACATTTGTATCCCTGTTTTAAAACTATTGTTGTTGGCCAGGCCCAGTGGCTCATGTACTTTAATATATTCTGGAAGAGGAGAGAAGCTTGTCTCGTGGCTTTCCAAATGGCCAAACTTGGAAGAAGCAGGTCAAAGTAACAAAGATGAGTTTCAGCTCAATATGAGGGAATTGTCTAACAATGAAGGAGGGCCCACTAGGATTTTGTTAACCTCCTCTTCACTGGAGTTATTTAACAGAGGTCCCTATTGATCCGCAATGCCCTCCAGTGACTTTTGGATTTTAGGAGGGATGGATGTGGGAATAGGTTTGAATCTTTTCTAATCATTTGGTGATAAAATGTTGATTCTGTCAAGGCAGCCTTGTTTCCCTTACTGGAAAAGCAGTGATGTGTAATAAGAACAATGGACTAAAAGAGTCATATTTTAGCCCTGGTTCTATAGCTTTTCCTTTGTGATGTCAGGCAACTTACCTACAGCTTTTAATCTACCATAGTGGGTTAATGCTATCTTTTCTCTTACTTTCCTTTCAGGATTGCTATAGGAATCATTACAAAAATAGTTTCCTGGCCGGGCGTGGTGGCTCACGCCTGTAATCCTAGCACTCTGGGAGTCCGAGGCAGCCGGATTGCTGGAAGACAGCTATCATTTGCATCCTTTTGAGAATGGGTGCTTTACCTAAATAAACTTCCCACAAAAACCATCTGTCATCATCCAACTTCTAACAGCAATGAAGTCCTAACAAACTGCTTGGCAGGGGAGAAAGGGAAACTATCATGCAAAACCCCTACCACATAATGAAGTACAAGTAGTTAACAGTTACTACCATTCTTTAAGGGGAGTTACAGAGAACCATGCATTTCTCATTACTCCTTTGTTAGATGCCACAGAATAAAAAAGCTTTCCTGTGTAAAGAATAGGCACAAAGATGGGGTCTAGAAAATGCACAATGAAATATACAAGTATAAGAAGTCTAGCAATAGCTGTACTGTAATTAAATACTTATTAAAACTGCTTTATGAAAACAATCAGAATTAAATGTTTGTCCAAAATCTTATGTCTTGCCCTTCAGCAACATTTATCACAATTTGTAATTATACCTTTCTGCTTATTTATTGCCCATATCATACAGAAAACCATAAGCTTCGGGAAGGTAGAGTCAACTATTCTGAACACAGGATACCTATGAGCATAAGATCTTGTACATGGAAGGTGCTTATTAAACATTTGTAAAGTAAGTGAATAAAGAGAGAGGAAAAGAAAAGAAAGCAGACCACCAGTTACCTTAAATAGACTATTTTGCTTTCTTCATCAATGCTGGGAAATTAATCCCTTGTTGAATACCTATTATGACCCAGACCTAAGGCTTAAAGAAATTAAATATTAAATAACTAACTCAAGCGCCCCCCTAGTAAATTTGATGTTCCGTTTATCCGCTGTAATGCTAGCCCCCAAATATGCCCTTGTCCTCAATTATCTCCTCTCCATACAGCTATTGGGGCAGGGAGAGATATGCACAGCAAAATTAGTAGTTGCATACAACCGAAGTCCTCTGGCTAGCCATACAATTCTGAATTTTCCTCCAATTTACAGAAATCCTGCTGAAGAAGTAAATGATTTACAAATAGCAAAACAAACATTTTAAGAATGGAAAAGCATATACCCACTATTCAATTGGAACTAACCGATGAGCACACATGTGCACAGAGGGAAGAAAAACTCAGTGGAAATCAACCAGGGGAGAGGAGAAGAGGGACAAAAACCTACCTAATAAGTACAATGAACACTATCTGGGTGATGGGCACTTCTATAGCCAGGACTCAAGCATTACAAAATTGAAACCTAAAACATTTGTACGCCCTTAATATATTGAAACAAAAAAACCCCATTTTTACATTAATCAAATAATTTGATCTCCAAAACAATCTTACAAAAGAGATAAATTCCCATTATGTTGGTGAGGACACTGAGGCTACGAGAGCTTGATCATTCACAGTTTCTCTACAAACCTATGGCCTTAGGGTTTTCCAAAAAAATAATGGCTGCATAAACTTGGTGTAAAATTTGAAAGAGACACTCGTGTCATAATCCTCGTTTTCCTATTGCTAATACGTGACCCAGATGGGAGAGTTCAACGACTCAGTTTCCCCATTTGCACCTTAGGTTTGATGAGGGTTCCGTTCATTCTTTGGGTAATAGTGTGTTGACCATCAAATATATTTATGAGGAGACAACATATTGAGGTCAAAGAAAGTGCGTGGGAATAACATTTTAGAGAGTTGCACTGCAGCCAAGACTAACTCTGGGCTGCGGTCCACACTCGCCGTCGCCAGCTCCTCTCATTTCCTCTCTCCCCCCTCCAAAGAATCATTCCTTCCTAAAGTCAGAGACAGCGCAACAGGCAAGTTCCTACCTTGGTCTGAATACTCTTATCAAACTTGTCATTTTTGAAGCTAAACGTATTCTGGTGCTTCTGAGGCCTGGAACGAGCCACGTTGCCTTTCTGGGAACTCATAGCCGAAGCCACAGCCACCCCGTGCGGGGTACAGTGGAAACTACGCTAAGAAAAGCTACAAATTACCCCGAAACGTTGCCGTTCCTGTCAATGACCCGGAAGGAACTTATCCAGCCGGTCCGTCCCCGCCCCCGAGCAGCCCACGTGATTCCTCTGGGAGGTCAAAGGGCACCCTCCTGCCTTCCCTGCCCCTCGTCCAGGCTACTCCACGCGTCCCGGCCTCGACCCCTCCCCCTCCGCGCAGCCTCTTTCTCAAACCTGGCAAACAAGCCCCGCTTTCTTCGAAATGAGAAATCCCCCATTGGTCCGAACATGGCAGTCCGTCAAGGCGGAGGGGCGGGGAGCCTTTGCTCTTATTGGCTCGTCTTTTCCGCAATCCCCGCCTCCTGCCGAATCAGCTCAGCCTCTCCCGGAGCCCGGAGCGCTAGGGACTCTGCTGGGCGGCTTGTGGTTGGTGGAAATCCGCCGAGGCTGGGCTCCGTCCCTCCCCCCCGCCCGCTCGCAGGCTGGAGCCCGGGTCAGCGTTGGCACCTTCCTCCAGTCAGTGACCAACTCCTGGCATAGTGGGAAGTCGGCTCGCCCCCTCGGTTTCCCTCCGGTCTGCCTCCCGCTACGGGAGTGAATCCCGCGTCCGGCCGGCCGTGGAGAGGAGCAAAGAAAGAAGGAGGGTTAAAGAGAAGAAAGACTCGGCTGGGGCTGGGTGGTGTCTGCAGTGCCAGAAAGGGAGGTGGCGGCGGCGTCTGCTGCGACCACGGCCGCGCGGGACGTGAGGCCCGAGAGCACCCGACGGCGGCGGCAGCCGCTCCAGCGCCTTGTGCCGGGGCCGTTAGTCAGCAGAACGCGAGCTCGTGTGGAGGAGCAGGGCCGGCGCGAGGCGAGACTCGAGAGTGCGAGCCGGGCCCGCTGGGGCGCCGCCGTCCTTCTTCGCCCGGGCGCTGGGGACCGCAGCGCTCGTCCCCCTTCCCCGGCTGGGCCGGTCCGCAGGCGAGGAGAATCCGGCGGCGGGAGCGCGGGTCGCGCCTCGTGTAGGACAGCGCGCCGGCGGAGGCTTTCTCCAGACCCTTTCTGCTGGGCGCCTCGGGCTGGGCCACTCAGGTGCAGGTGCGTGGGGCCTCGCGGGCCGCGGCCGGGCCGGGGAAGGGGGCGCTAGGCCCCGAGCCGCAGCGCGGGAGGGAAGAGCCCCGGCCGGGCGGGGGGAGGGGAGCGGGAGGCGTCTTTGTTGTTGGTGACCGGGATCCCTGTCCGCGCGAAGGAGAGGCAGAGGACCCGCTTGCGATCGGGTCTGTGTATTTGAGAGGATTCTCTGGTGGTTCGGGGAAGGGGGAGTGGGGTCCCTGCGGCCCGTGAGGCTGCGGGAGTCTGGGGGCGGGGAGGGTCGGGCCGAGGGACACGCCGGAAAGGTATTTGGTCCTCCTCGAAGGGAAGGGTCCCCTTCATCTCCTTTGATTTTTCTCCCATTGGACGGAAGGGTGGGTGGTCAGGTTCTCATTCCCCTGTGGTTTACTGGGAGATTCACGATGTCTAAGAGCTTTTTCTCCTGAATGTCCTTATCTCTGCCAGCCTCGATTTTAGATTGAATCTTTACCGAGCTTGGTGATTTGTGCATTCCGGTCGGGCTGTCTTAGGCTTTTTCTTTAAATGATTGAACTTTAATCCTGTCTGTTTTCAATTCTACGGCAGGCTCATCAGGAATCTTTTTTGAATTGGAAAATTAGAAGTTCTCTTTGGAATTGTATGTAACCCCGAAACGAGAAAGTTGTGTCAAATTAGATTGTACTGTGTGGGGGCTTTCGTAAAGGAGAAAGACTGTTTAACCTTGGCTGCTGCTGCTTTTTTTTTTTTCATTTTTAATGTTCAGATCTTTGCTCCGTGGTGAGAATTCTGCCAAGGCCAGAACAGTATTTTTTTTTTTTTTAGATGATGCTTTTAAGTCAGTGCGAGGTAGATTTGGTGAGCGAAAGAACGAATAACGGGATAGAGAAAGGGTGACCTTTAAATTTTGGCTGCTCACAAAAGGTGTTCCTATTTAATACATTTTGTAATATGTATAATGTTTGCGCCGTGAGATGATTTATTGATTTTTTTTAAGCCACCAATAAATAAAAAGAATGTTGGAGATCTTGTGTTAACATGTAAAACTACCTAATGAGTCTGAGTAGAAAGTCATGTTGTAATAACATTCATCTGATTACATTAACAGAGAAATTTACAATGGAATGAACTTTTCTCCATAAAGAGTTTCTCTTCATATGTTTATAGCATGAACTCAGTTGAGTGATATCTTTAATCATACCCAGTATTTTGAAAATTATCATGATGGCCAGTGTTCTAATTTGGTGCTGCCCAACTCCTTGCTTGTTGGTAAATTTTTACTTGGGGAGTAGGGGTAATGGCTTTAAAGAACACCAGAAGTGATCATTTTTTAACGTATATAAGATAGATCCTCTAACCTGTAACATAAAGGAATAAAAATAAAAAAGTTTCTATGCAATAATTGCTATATTGTATGAAATTCAAGAGGAAATAAATAGCACCTTCACCCATATTTTGACCTCTCTTTTCTCCTACTCTAGTATTAAGGTTAATTGGCAAGGATAGGATTAAATTTTTAGCAGGCTAGGCAGTTTTAATTTTGTCCCTTGGTATGCAGTACTCTAGTTGATTAGTGGCTTGTTTCCTTGAGTATCTTTGCCCATTTTAAAATGTTTATTAAATGACAGCTGACAAAGAATTTTCTATTTCCAGGGTTAAACAAAATCATCATAAAGCATGGTGGTAAAATAATATTTTTCATAGCTTAATGAACATAGAAAAACTAGGCAATTAGTGTCTGTTCCACGTTCTGGCACTGAATTGGTCTACAACTCCAGGCATACTATCCCACATCAGAGTCAGTTTCTCCCTCTGTAATATGGGGCTAATAAAATGTGCCACCTGCTCACTTTATAGAAAGGGCAGTGAACCATATAAACAACAGTTACTCTGGTTGTGTGACATTGATTTACTTAAATAAGAATCTTTAATGCAGTACTCTTATTTTGTTTTGGTATTTTGAATTTCAATTCTTTGAATAATTAGCATAAAGAACAGGGAGAATACCTGTTCCTATGCCATGATTTAGGAATTGATAAAATTTCTTCCATTTTAAGTTTGATGTTATATCTTTAGAATCAGTGATGACAAGAAAATAGTTTATGGAATTGCTTGGTTTATTTACCCGTAGATCTTATTTCTAATCTATTCAAGGTTTTGCTCTTAATTCTCAAATTTACTCTTACCTTTCCTACCCTGTTAAAAATCTCTCACATACATTACCCCATTTGCCTGCCAAATCCAGCCTTGCGAGTTGGAGAGGATAAGTGATTTTATGGCTTTTTGTGTGTGTGTGTGTGACAGCAGAGTCTCACTCTGTTTATTGCCTGGGCTAGAGTGCCGTGGTGTCAGCTTAGCTCACAGCAACCTCAAACTCCTGGGCTCAAGCCATCCTCCTGCCTCAGCCTCCTGAGTAGCTGGGACTACAGGCATGTGCCACCATGCCCGGCTGATTTTTTTCTATATATTTTTAGTTGTCCAGATAATTTTTCTATTTTTAGTGGAGATGGGGTCTCGCTCTTGCTCAGGCTGGTTTCAAACTCCTGACCTTGAACTATCTTCCCGCCTTGGCCTCCCACAGTGCTAGGATTACAGGAGAGAGCCACCACGTCCAGCCGATTTTATGGCATTTTTACACATGAAATAAATAAAGCTCAGAGAAGTTAATTATTTGAGTTGCCTGAAGCTAAACAATTAATAAGAAGCAGAAGTGAGGCTTGAACTTGGATCTTCTGATTTCTATCTAGTCCTGAATCTTTTGCTTTGAAGTAGTGTTTCAAACACCTGTCTATGCCCAACAGTTGTGTCAGTCCTGGTGAAATGAGAAATAATACGGCAATATAAATATTGGCAACATACAGTATATAATGAATATCCACATACCTACCTATCACCCAGTTGAAGAAATAAAACAACAAATCACAATGAAGTTTCCTTTAACTTGTACCCCTCTTAAATCCTGTTTTCTAGGTTCCCCATTCCCAATGAGTAACCCAAATTGGCATGCATCTTCCTGTATCCATGTGTTCATACTTAACTACATACCTTTATATCCATGAATGTTATATAATTTTGTTGTGATTGTTTTAATGCTATTTAAATATGTTCATATCTTTCTGTAGCTTGCTTTCCTCATTCAACTTGACCAAGATTTATCTATGTTTATTTAGATAGTTGTAGTTTATTTTTGCTGCTGTATGGTATGTGCCCCATTGTGTAACTGTATCACATTTCTGTTAATGGTCATTTTAGTTGTTTCAATTATTTGCTATTAAATGGTGCTATAAGGAATTTTCTTGTATATGTTACTAAAATGTAAGAATTTATAACAAAATAATATGTATTTCACTGTTTAGATCCTGGAGTTCAAGACTACACTCAAGTCTTGCTACCAAGTGTGTAGCCAGCAACATCAGACTCACTTGGGAGCTTGTTAGAAATTCTGGACCTCAGGCCTTACCCCACTAACTCAGATGCTGTAGTTTAACAAGTTTTCCAGGTGATTGATGTAGGCATTAAAATCTAAGAAGCACTACTAGAAGAAATAGTTGTAGATACTTTGCACCTGTGGGTAGTATTACCATCAATACAGTAACTACAGACTGACACAGATATGTTGAATTAGCCATTCAGACACCAATAGTGGTGGCACTGTTGGTGAAAAATGATTTTCCGAAATAACAAATGTAAATGTTCAATCGTCCCTCTTTACCTAAGGTTGCATTCTTAGAAGGCATCATCTGTGCTAAAACAATACAAATAGACTTTGCTATTTAGAAGTATCTGACCTTGGTAATTTTTTTCCCCTCTTCTTATTCCTCTATATGAATGTCCAGCAGAATATTCAAAAGTCATGGGAGATGAAGCAACATTATCTTTATTCAGGAAGAGTGCCTGGCATCCCTGGCCTCTATTTAGTACTGCCTCTCATTCATTATAACAGCCCAAAAGCTGCAACTGAGAAAAATTGCCCTGAATTGTAAATCTGGGAGTCGATTGCTAGACCCTAGGGTGTGAGCTTATTTAGCTTTATTAGATAACTGCGAATTTTCTCTACAAATTGTACCAGTAATGGATGAGAGGGTCTGTTTTTCTACCTTCCAGATATTTTAGGCTTCTTAATTTTTGCCATTCTGAGGAGTATGCAATGGTACCTCATTGTAGTTTTTATTTGCATCTTCCCAGAGAATACTTTGTTTATTGGCTTTCATATTCTTTTTCTATGAATTGTCTGCTCAGTTTTTCTATGGGATTATCTTGTCCTTAATGACTTGTAAACAATTATGTATTGTTTATGACAATACTTGGTAGACTTTGAAAATGTCTTCTTCCAGCCTTTAGCATGATTTTTCACTTCAAATATGGTATCTTTTAGTGACTGGAAG